TTTTTTTACCTGGTCCAGAAGCACAGAGCCTTTTGATTGGTCTATCTCTGTTGGAGATGTCTCCAGATAGATACTGCGTTATTTTGCTGCCCCTGCCAAGTTTTGTTGGTTTTGTTGGAAATACATGTTTGAACTTTTTGTTTTAGTAAGCGTTTTATGGTACTTACAATACAATAAGGTCATATAAGCGCCGAAGATTAGATGTGTCGCAAGAGAGAAACAAACACAAAAAAGAAGGAGGACATACAAGGAGTCCAAATATTTCACATATGTTATATTGTTCAGTTGCTCCTTCTTTCCTATCAAACATTTGTGAAATATTTGGACTTTGTAATATGTGCCTTGAAAATTGTTTTTAGGAGATTTCTTCAGGACTTTGGGATAGTGTGATGACAATGATCTAATCTGAACAAATATTTGGATTTTTGGGAGATGCCCCCAACAGTGTGATTCGCTTTGTTTTGTAAGTGGCAGGGAGATTAAGCCTTCCTCAATGGCGTTCTGTCTTCTTCATTTTGGTAAGTGTTTTACGGCACTCGCAACTGCATAAGGTCATATGAGCGCTCGGGATACATGGAACATTTTCAGTTTTGTAAAAATTAATTTTGAATTTTGCCTGAGTGGCGGACGAAGCCTACTTTTATCAATTTTAGACCACCGAGGGATCTTTAAAGTGTGCAACTTGCACACGGGACCTCTGAGATTTTTCCCCCTTATCCGAGAAAGCTAGTTGTTAGATCTTACCTACCCTAAGATCAGGGGTGTGGCTAAAAGACAGCAGTAAGAAGGAGCCAAGGAGTAGCAGTAGAAAGGCTGCAGAAAGAGTCAGGAGCCAAGAAGAGTGGACAAAGAGGGGAGGGGATGGGTTCGAACTCGGGACCTATTGAATAAAAGGGGAACTCAGTAACCTAGACCACGAGAGCCCCCATTCTCACTTCGTCCAGTCATTAAGGAGTAGTTTGTTCTGAACTTGACCAACATGTGGAAGTACAAGGGTCAAGCAGATAGCCACTGGGTGCTTTGATGTGGCCTGCTCCTTCGACTTCTTTTCGTATATATGTTTCTTATAGTTTGTGTCTGTTGAAGTCCAGTGTCATGCAGGTTTGTTTTTAACTTTCGATTTTACAACAGGTTCAGGTTCAAATCCCAGTTACTTTTGAATTTTGTCTCTCCTTTCACGAAGATTTCAGTTTAGTCTATTTTTTGACCGGTAGGAAGTCTTCTGTATTCAAGTTCAAGGTTATATAGTTTTAATTAAGTGTTTAATTTCAACAAAATCAAACACTAAAGGTCAGTTTTCTTTCTTCAGGTATGGAATTTGTGTCGCGGGAGTCGAGGATTTGTCAGATGGTTATCCAGCTGTCCTGGGCAGGCTTCAGAACAGCGTCTGGTCAGTGGTGGTGGTCATCGGTAGTGTGGACGACCTGCAGGCTCTGCTTAATGCTCGTACTACTGGAAGTGGTAAGTTTTCCCAGTGGATGACCCTCTTTCTTTTCCAAGAACAGAGATGCCATTTTTCTGCTTTTTTCCGGTATTTCCAGTATTTTGATCCTGATCCGCTATTCCGTTATTGAGATCGAGATAGAATCCCTAGTTGGAAAAAAAAAATTTGGGTTTCAAATTGCTATTCTTGTGTTAGCGAGACCGTGGTGCGTGGATTTTCAGCTATTTAAAAAAAAGTTGAGTGGCATCCCTGCTAGAAGATGACCCCTTTTTTTTTCAATAGATGATCCCTGGGGGGGCTCTCGTGGCCTAGAGGTTAAGGTGTTGGCCTCTCATTCAAAGGTCCCGGGTTCGAATCCGGGTAGCGACCGAAATTTTTTTTCTTCTAAATTTGTCTCCTTTCACCTCTTTTCCTGCTCTCTAGCAATGTTCTGTCGTCTGCTTTCGTCTCCTCTTTCTGCCCCCACCCCCTCACCTCCTTTGTCCATTCCTCTTGGCTCCTGATTCTTTTTGCAGCCTTTCTACTGCTACTCCTTCGCTTCTTCTTACTGCTGTCTTTCAGCCACACCCCTGATTTTCTGGTAGGAAAGATCTACACCTAGCCTTCTCGGACAAGGGCGAAAAATTTCTGAGGGCCCGTGTGCAAGCTGCGCATGTTAAAGATCCCTTGGTGGTCTAAAATCGATAAGAGTAGGCTGCGGCCGCCACCCGTGCAAAATTTAAAATTTCCTACCAACTGAAAATATTAGGTGTGTCCCGCACGCTAATATGACCTTATGCAGTTGCGAGCGCTGTAAAACACTTTACAAAAACAAAAACCTTTTTTCCCTTTTTACCCAAAGATGATCCCTTTTTTCCCTTAGATGACCCCTTTTTTCTCCCTCACAGATGACCCCTTTTCTTCCCAAAAGATATCACCTTTTTTCCCCAGAGGATGACCTCTTGGTGTCATTCCCACTACGAAATCTGAAGTTTTCATGGACATGTGAGAGATCGGACAGCCTTGTTTGACTCAATTTATTTTAGTGTTGTGAGCAGGTGCAGCTAATCCTAGATGGCTATTGTTTCCATAGCAGTGGTTTCATGGAACAGTCTTTCTTTCTGAATGTGTAGGCCAAAAAATGATATCAATCTTTTTTTGTAGTTATTATTTTGTATTTTGTTTTTCATTTTAAAACATCATTTGGATTTTTAAACTTGAGAACTTAAAAGTTTTGTTCAGCCCATCACTTTACCTGGAAAAGTTGGAGCTGTTGGAGTCATGCCCGGCGAGTATTTCTCAGTTTTCTCAATTTTAAAACTCTCTGACTTCCGGCAGGCACCCGCTCCATTCAGTTCATCTCTGGTGTCGAGTCCTTCTCGAGAAATCCGGCTCTCCTGACTGGATTGGGCTCTGCCGCGGACTCGCTGATCATGCTGGAGCCTGAACTGGCCCCGAACTCAGCCTTCTCCACCTGGCTCAGGGGCCTCAGCCGCAGCGAGATCGTCGTACACCCTTTCCTGCGGGAACTCTTCGAGATCACCAACAACTGCTCGCTGGACCCAGCCACCCATGGCCTCTACTCGCAAGCCTGCGACAACAACGACGCTCTCAATGTTTTTCAGGTACCAGTTGACTGTAAATTTTTTATTGTGGATGGTTAGCGGGTGTTTTGATGTGGTTTGCTACTTCTTTGCTATCATACATCTATTGTTCTGATCTCTCCTGTTTCTTTTTTTGTGTTTGTTATGCTCTTGTAACACCTCTGATCTTCGGCACTTATGTGACCTCATTGTGCTGCAAGTGCCGTAAAACTCTTTTACTCACACTATGAACTAAAACCTTTTGCGGCCCCATCGACGCTAGTTAGATTATCTAAGAGGTGAGGTGTTTTGGCCATACCTACCATGAACGACCCAGGCTGGGTTGGATAACAAATCCTAGCTGACTGATGGGAATATTTGATAAAAATTTGATGTGGTTTGCTACTTCTTTGCTATCATACATCTATCGTCCTGATCTCTGCTATTTCTTTTTTTGTGTTGTTGTTATGCTCTTGTAACGCCTCTTATCTTCAGCACTTATGTTACCTTATTGTGCTGCAAGTGCCGTAAAACTCTTTTATTTTAGTCACACTATTAGGTGAGGTGTGCTTTGGCCATACCTATCATGAATGACCCAGGCTGGGTGGGATAACAAATCCTAGCTGACTGATGGGAATATTTGATACAAATTTTCTCCACTCTGGAGTTGAAATCAAATCCTCTGCCAGAAATGGTAACCATTACTCCACAGACGCTGATGCCAAGGAAAGGAAAAACTATTCCTTTTGTTCATCCTCATAGGGACATTTTGGTTTCCATAATGACAGTGGCAGACACAATGTTTAAATGAAATGATTTTCAATTTGCCACTTGCGCGCTGTGAAGATATTTGCAGTTGTTATTGTTGTTGTTGTTTTTGATTTTTTCTTTTGTTGTAGTTGTTGTTACTCTTGGTGAGCATGAGTTTACGGCAATGTGAAAAGCTGTATGCCAGTAAAACCTGTTAGTAAAATTGAGGAAATTTAACTGAGATTTTTTTTCCCCATTTAGCCAGTGGTCTTGTGTCAAAAACACGTTATGAGTCAGTTGATTATCTTTGAGAGATATTTTGTTCAAGGCTACTTCACTGAAATGAATTGTGTAATATTTGCATGCCTGTGTGTGTGCGTGTGCTCGCACGCATTGAGTGTGCGTTTAGTGTGTGCATGTGTGTGTGTACTAGGGATAGAGAGAGAGACAGGGAGAGACAGAGAGAGAGAGTGAGAGAGAGACAGCTCACTGACTAATTTGTCATGTGTTACAAGTATGCTTTTGATTAATTTCCAAATATATTTTTCTCGTAGTCTAGCACACTGACTGTAAGAACTTCTCTGTTGACCTCCACCCCTTGGCGCTCATATGACCTTATGCAGTTGCGAGCACCGTAAAACTGTCTACTAAAACAAAAACTAGCACACTGATTTTCTCTACATGACTCCTCAGGACAAGGTACAGTACGTCATAGAGAGCGTTTACACGGTGGCTGATAAGCTCCATGACGTCATCACTGAGGTCTGTCAGAACAACAACTACGACGGCCTGTGCACCAGCTTCCGGTCAGCCACAGACATCGGCAGCAGGCTGAACGCCAAGATACGCAACTCTGGTCGCTCAGCATCCGGCTTTGAGATCAAGAACGGGGAGGGGGTGACCAACTTCAACATCTATCTCCGGAACGTAGCGCAAGCAACATACACTCAGGTACGAATAAACTTATGGAGGAAAGAAGTTATTCAAACTAAGTATGATAGCCCGTGTCACAAAAAATTTGTCACAAACAAAAGAACAAGCAAGCAAGCAAACAAACAAAAAAACCTTTCCTTTCCGTGGGTGCTTGGCGGGTGCTCTGATGTGGTTTGCACTTCCTTTCCTATCAAACATCTATCACCGTTACCTACCCTCTTTCTTTTTTGTGTATGCTACACTCTCGTAACGCCTCAAATGTTCGGTACTTTTATGATCTTATTATGTTGCAAGTGCCGTAAAACAAAGGTTGGTGTCCCTGACAGGTTGTACTTCTTTTTAAAAAAAAACTTTTGTTGTTTCTGTTTGACTTTTCCTCAGGAGTAAATGACTTTAACAAAAAACCCCCCAAAAACAAACGTTTCCTTTCCAGCTGGCTGTGTTTGACTCAGAGAATCTCCGATTGCTACAAGAGAACTACGGGCCTCTGGGGAGCTACGGTGGCCGTGCGAACACCTGCCCAGGTGTGTGCGTCCAGTGTCACTACCTGTACACCATGCAAAGCGGCTACTTCGTGCCCGGGGACTGGATCATCGCCGGAGCCTTCAGGTGAGCAGGGGCGAGGCAGGGCGGGGCGGGGAGTTGACCAGGGCTTTTAGACTTCTCATTGCTGCCCGTTGTGGGTAGTGGATCTTTGGGTGTTTGTGCTTCTAAAAGTTATTTGTTTATTTGTTTGTTTGATTGATTGTTTGTTTGTTTTGAGTAAAGAGAAGCGCATTAACACATGGGAATGCTGAGAAAAAATAAGACAGACAGATGCAACAGAGGAAAAGTAAAAAAGAAGGACTGAAAGTTGTAAAACATTGTTTTAAACGTTTGTTGACAATCTAGAAAAGTAAAAAAAAATCACTTTGTCTAAGAATGGATACCCATGTTTAGATAAGTTTGAGTTGGGATGGGTTATGACTCTGGACAATGTACACAGTTTGAGTTGGGATGGGTTATGACTCTGGACAATGTACACTGTTTCTGTCTGTCTCTCTCTGTCTCTTTCCCTCTCTGTCTCTCTTTGTCTCACTCTCTCTCTCTCTCTCTCTGGCTCTCTCTGGCTCTCTCTCTCACTCTCTGTCTGTGTCGCTCTCTCTCTCTCTCTCTCTGGCTTTCTCTCTCTCTCTCTCTCTCTCTCTCTCTCTCTCTTTCTCTCTCTCTCTTTCACTCTCCACTCTCTCTCTCTCTCTCACTCTCTCTGTCTCTCCCCCCCCCCCTCTCTCTCTGGCATGAAGTTCACACGGTAATACATTCACACAATATTCGTTCTTCTATCCTTTTCGCTCAGTGTGAGTAACTCTTGCACAAAGTTCAAACAGTAACACATCCACACAATATCTCAATATCCTGTCTATCTCCCCCCCCCCCTCTCTCTCTCTCTCTGTGGCATGAAGTTCACACAATAACACATTCACACGACAGCTCTTCTACCTTTCTCTTGAGCCCCCCCCCCCCCCCCCCCCCTCCGGCGCAGTGCTACTGCCTGAAGTGTCTTTAGGCCATTCCCAAAGGGGGGACATTGACTTGTTCTTATGCACAGTTGAATTGTAAATGGGCTGATTCATCAATGTCATACTCATAACTGTGCCTGAACTGCAACAGGGAACTGCTGCTTTTTCTTTCCTAATCCTTACTATCGTCATTTTCCTCTACTTTTTTGTATATTTGTCACACTCTTGTGACCCGCTATTTCTAGGTTGCCTTGATAGTCGTGGCAGAATTTGTGCTGCTGAAGCTAGAGAGGTGAGCAGAGTAAGCCTGATTCCCTGTAAGGACTTCTCTGTTGACATCCACCCCTTGGCGCTCATATGACCTTATGCAGTTGCGAGTGCCGAAAAACCTCTACTAAAACAAACATCCTTCTCTCTCAGTGTGAGTAACTCTGGCCCAGTAGAGCTGCAGCCGTACGTGTGCGGGTCGATCCGAGAGGTCAATGGGCCGCAGTACACGACCGCCATGATGTACGCCATCGAGCAAGTCAACAAGGGGCTGGCTCCTGTCTCCGTCAAGGGCGTCAAGATCGGTAAGTTGAATGTGGGTGGTTGGCGGGTGCACTGGTATGGTTTGCTCCTTCTTTCCTATCAAACATCTATCGTCCTTATCTCTCCTCCTTTTTTGTGTATGTTACTTTCTTGTAACACTTCTATTTTTCGGCACTTATATGATCTAATTGTGTTGCAAGTGCCGTAAAACTCTTACTAAAACTACAGGGTTAGTTGAATACTTATTGATTGCTCAGTGTCATAGGTGGTGCCTATTGAAAGATTGGTTCGGTTCAGTGCAATTTAGCTTGTCTGGTTCAGTTTGGTTCAATCAAAGAGTCTACATAACAAGAGGGGCCACTCCTCTCTTTGAGCCAATTAAAAAAGTGTCCTCCAAATTTGGTGGCGCCCTCTTCGCAAATGCGCACCCTTTGCAAACAGAGTTACCCTACTTGTGTTAAAAAAATCAAAGTGAAACTAGCAAGTTTTTAAATTAATTTCGGAAGAACGCTTTAAAAAAATGGTTACGCTGATAAAAAACCTTTTCCGGAGGCAGGGGGATTGTTTTCTTAACTTAATTTGACTTTAGAATGAAAGGCAAGAGGTCATTAAAATAAAAAAAACCCCCTAAAACTCCGCACTGAACGAACCCGAACTGCTGATGAACAGCAGTCGATCTGCGCATGCAAGGAGGTGCTATTCCTATTCTTCTTCTGGAGAAACGAAAGAGAGCTTCAAAACAGGCCTCAGCGCCATCTGAAGCAAAGAGCGGACTTCCGGCGGACACTTTTTTGGCTGAGTGGACCATCTTGTTATGTACTATCTTTGGTTCAATTCAGTCTGTTCAGTACAATTCAGTCAGTTTGGTTCAGTGCAATTCATTCAGTTCTGTTCAGTTCAATTAAGTCAGTTCCATATGATTCATGGTTGTTTCAGTGCTCACAACATTTATTGTCCTGATCTCTCCTCCCTTCCATTTTTGTGTTGATTACTTTTTCGTAAAGCTTCTAACCTTCGACACTCATAAGACCTTATTCTGTTGCAAGGGCTGTTATACTCCTACTAAAAAATCTATGATGTCTCCGCAAGTCATTATGATAAAACTGCATAACCAGGTAACATAACTGAACATGTCGTGCTCAGGTGGGTGGGTGGTTGGCGGGTGCTCAGGTGTGGTTTGCTTCTCCTTTCCTATCAAACATCTATCGTCCTGATCTCCCCTCCTTCTTTTTTGTGTTTGTTACTCTTTTGTAACACACTTTTAATCTAAGGCACTTATTGTGTTGCAAGTGATATACTCCTGCTAAAAATAAACTTGAAATATCTCTACAAGTCATTCTGAAAAAAGCAGCCAGGTAAGATAACTGGATGGGTGGTTGGCGGGTGCTCTGGTGTGGTTTGCTCCTTCTTTCCTATCAAACATCTATTGTCCTGATCTCTCCTCACTTCCTCATTTAAATGACCTTATTGTGTTGCAAGTGCTGTAAAACTCTTATTAAAACAAAAACTAAAACGTGGGTAGTTGGTGGGTGCTCTGGTGTGGTTTGCTCTTCTGTCCTATCAAACATCTATCGTCCTTTTCTCTCCTTATTCTATTTTATGTTTGTTACTCTCTTGTAACACCTCTAATCTTCTGGTGCTCATATGACCTTATACAGTTGCGAGCGCCGAGAAACCTCTACTAAAACTAAAAATTCTCCTCTCTTATATAACCTTATTGTGTTGCAAGTGCTGTAAAACTCTTATTAAAACTAAAAAACTAAAATAACTACACTTGTCGTACTCAGGTGGGCTGGCCTTGGACCACTGCAACGACGAGGGTCGAGTGAACCTGTTGGTGTCCGACATCTACTCGGGCTTCCTCCGTGACATGGGCGTCGACCCAACCCACATCCTGTCCTGGCTCACGGACAACACCGGGAGTACGCACGATGCTGCCACGGTGCTGGAGCCACTCGGTGAGTAGCCATGCCAGTGTATTTCTTCTATATAATCTTTCATTCATTCATTCATTTATATATTCATTCATTCATTCATTCTTTCGTTCATTCGAAAAAAAGAGAGAGAGAGAGAGAGAGAGAGAGAGAGAGAGATATTCATTCATTCATTCATTCATTCATTCATTCATTCATTCATTCATTCATTCATTCATTCACTCATTCGCTCACTCACTCACTCTCTCACTCTCTCACTCTCTCACTCTCTCATTCATTCATTCATTCATTCATTCATTCATTCATTCATTTTCATTCATTTTCATTCATTCATTTATTCTTTTATTTATTTGTGTATTAACATATTTATGTATGTACTTTTATGTATTATTAATTAATTAATTAATTAATTAGTTAATTAATTTTTATTGTTGTTCAACGTCCCTTTTTCAGGTGCCATATTAGCGATCTTATTCATATCAGACGATCAGTGAGCCGTGGTAGTAAAGTAAGATGGTTGAAAATGTAATGTAATGCATGTGAGTTTCTCTGATGGAATGGCTTGGAAGCTGCTGAAGGATATTTTCAGATTTTGTTAATATAATACTCCTAGAACTTCAATCAATTCTGTTTTAAATGAAATTTTGTGAAATGGACTAATATGGAATGTTAAACCATTTGTAAATCTCTATTAAGATTATGTGCAAGAGCTAGTTAAGACCGGTGTAAAATTTTTATTTTTCCACCACAAAACAACAGATGTTGCCATGGTGAGCCCTTCTGCAACGTCAGCGAGCCTGATGGACTACCCGACCTTCCATCGCACTGTTCAAGGGGACATAACTACAGCCACAGCTCTCGTCAAAGTGATCAAGTCGTTAGGATTCCCCTACATACAGGTACATTTGTTTTGCTTGCGGCATACTGTAACTCTTCGTGTACTACCCATCAGTTTTGCTTGCTCACGGTATTGCTCGATGGTTTACAGACCCAACAAAAATCTACCAAACTTCAGCAAAACCATCTTAAACAAACAGTATGGGCCACAGTTTTTTTGGTTTTTTTTGGTAAGTGTTTTATGGTGCTTACAACTGCATAAGGTCAAATGAGTGCTCGGGCGCCACAGGTATGACAGGAAGGATGATGTATGGCCACATGAATGAACCACAGGTCAAAGATCCAATCAATGAGTTGAGGAGGGGAGGTCTATCGATAATCTTCCAACTTAGAACACAACATGTGCCCCTCTATCAACAACTCAACCGATTTGGAGTAAAGCTGTCTGCAGCCTGCCCACTATGTGACTACCCTTCAGAGACAGTGGAACATCATCTTTTCTTCTGTAGAAAACTAATTGATCTGAGTGGATGTTTGCTAACAACAACAACATTGTTCGGATAATTTATTCCTACTCAGTTTGATGTTTATTTGCGAGGCAGCGTGGTGAAATCAGGTGCTCGTCAAAAAAATACAATCAGAGAAATCCACATTTTCCCGCTGGCTTTGCAATTTTTTTCAAAATTTTGATTTTTGATTCAACACTTTTTACGTCTTTGAAAAACTAATTTCTGTAAAGATTTCAATGAAAAAATGTTGATAAAAGCCTCAAAAAGTGTAAATTATTTGTTTCCAAAGTCTCTCAAGCTATGTAACACACTGTCATGTTCTCGCTAATTTTACATCTGAAACCAGGCAACCCCCACCTCCTTCAATTGCAAATATCTCAACTTCTTTTCAAGATAAATGAGTAATTTTTTTATCACAAGCAAGACAAATGAACAAGCTTCATAATGGTAAAAAATAACTCCATATGCCCAAAAATTGACAAGCGCCTGATTCCACCTCGTCGTAATACATTTTATGTGAATAAGTTAAAATAGGAGCAGTGTTATGGTGAAGTTTGTGAGGCTGAAAACTTGGATGACGAAATTGGCTGGTTACAGAGGAAGAAAAGCCTTCAGTATACTATAATATATATGGATTGAGTGTGCATAGAGCTTCCACTGGAGGCGGAATTTGTGCTATACAAATGCTATCTATTACTTTGATTATTACTGTGAGTTCAAGATGGTGCTCTTGTGTCTGCAAGGTGATTAAAAAAAGAATGCGTCAAAATCATCACATGGTATTTAAAAAACGAAAACCAATAGAAAACTCCGGCTTGGGCACATGTGTTGTACATACCTGCAAGTTTTTATTTCTTGTTTTACAAGTGCTCAAGGTGTATATTGTGGATGGTTGGTGGGTGCTCTGGTGTGGTTTGCTTCTTCTTTCCTATCAAACATCTATTATCCTTATCTCCCCTTCTTCTTTTTTATGTTTGTTACTTTCTTGTAATACCTCTAATCTTCTGGCGCTCATATGACCTTATGCAGAGCACCGTAAAACCTCTACTGACACTAAAACTAAAAGATGGTGCTCTTGTGTGTGCACCATCAGCTATACCCCTGGTCATGTGGTAGAAAAGATCTACACCCAGCCTTCTCAGACAAGGGCGAAAAATCTTTGAGGTCCCGCGTGTGCAAAATTCAAAATATCCCACCAACTAAAAATGTTTAACGTGTCCCCCGCGCTCATATGACCTTATGCAGTTGCTGTTGTGTATGGAACATAACAAGGTTATTGTCCATCCCTGTTTTAAGGGAGCTCCCCCCCGTCACTTGAAGACATGCACAGTGGCAACTAGTTGGGTGAGTAATAAAGTTCAGTTGCCGTCCGAGATACGTGTGGTGAGCAGTTATTCTTGTTCTCGTGTCAGTTAGTGAAGTGTTTCGGATTAAAGTGAACCCAAAGGAGACAAGCAGTTGTGAGCGCCGTAAAACACTTATCAAAAAAGAAAAAAACCTATAGCATATCACCATTTTTCACCAGGTTGTGTACTCGGACAGCGGCTACGGGCGTGGCGGTCTGAAGACCTTGACAGCCGTCACAGAGCAGGAAGGCATCTGCATCACCAGCTCTGTGGCCTTGGAGAGCGAGGACAAAGCCGCAGACGTGGTCGCTTCCCTCGTTGCTTCGCCGACCCAGGTCGTCGTGTCCTTCATGTCCACGTCCCACACGCGGGCGCTGTTTGCGGCCACGGTCAACAACGCTGCTGCTCGCAGCCAGCTGCTGTTCCTATTGCCAGAGCCTTATGACAAGGTAACGTGTGTGTGTGTGTGTGTGTGTG